ACCTTAAAGGGGCCTACCAACTCACTTCCTATGATTCCAGCCCAAAACATCCCTCCACCACCTCCTTGCTGACGTCGCAGCCTTGTTGGGACATGGTTGGCCATCCAGAACTCCATCCATCTGGACCATCCAGTGTAGCACGGCATACATCAGTGAATAAAACTGTTAGACAATTAGTCTTCATGTATTTCTGAGCCCACTGCAATCAACTCCTTGTGGGCATTGTTTAAGTGTGGCCGAAATACAGCTTTATGCACATCAGCAAGCCTCTGGAGGATCCTGCATCGAGAGGTTCTTGGGACTCCAGAGGCACCAGCAGCTTCAAATACCTGTTTGCTACTCATCAGTGGCTTTTTCACAGCTGCTCTCTTAATACCATGAATTAGCCTTACAGAAACTTTCCTTAACACGCCTTTATCTGAACGAACCCGTCTGCGCTCAGAATCAGACACAAATCTTTTCACAGGACGATGATCTCTCTTAATATTTTGTAAAATATCCAGTGGTTTCATACCTATTGAAAGATACGGCACTATTTCACGCTTTTCATCCCCCATATTGCATGAAACCTGTGACTTGCTTAATAATGTGGAACAACATACTTATGTAGTTTCCCATTAAATAGGCTCACCTGGCAAACTAATTAGGACAAATCTGTCTGAGATTGATGTCAGTGATCTCAACAGACATGCGAAGCAGCAGAATTGAAAACCTTCATTGAAAAACTAAAAATCAAAATTTTCTTTAATTGAAATCATATTCGCATAATAATTTGGAACACAGTGTAATTATTTGTATTCAATTGCAACTCATTTGCTTTGCCAGCTTTTTTTCTTTTCAGTTCTTAGTCTGAAATCCAATTTTCCCAAAATATTGAACTAGTCCTTTGATATTAAAATACTGATTTTAATAGTTATAATTTATAGTTTTTTATTTTTTTATTTTATGGTGCAGCGTAGCCTGTTGAGTTTTATTTTTAATTTGAATTAAGATGAATTCAAAGGTTTGTTATTGAATCATCCTGCTGTTAGGGCAAATTATGCAAAACTCCCCCACAGAGGACGTTTTCTATGTTTTGTTATAGGTTTTACAGAAGTGATGTTGTTTTTATGGGCTTATGTACAGTATATTTAGAATTCCTGCCTGTCCATGTTATGGTAAACCTGCTGCCTCAGTTAGATATATAGTATGCTGCCCTTTAGCTGAATCCCCACTGTTCGCCCAGCAGCAAGTTCCCTCTTGGATACATACTGTACACTGTTAGATATCATCACTCTGTAAGGTTGAGTGCATTCCAGGAGTTATTTCATTTTAGAATGATGCAATTCTTTTTTTGGCTTACTCAATCTCCCTCAGCTCACCTTGTCTTCTGTAGTTAATCATTTCCCGTAGAATTCCCAGAGAGAAGCTGATTGAACTTGTAGTAATCGTAGGTTAGCGTGTAGGTTTAATGTGTAGGTGGTAACAGCAGTAAGGGCAAAAGAGCACGTTTTTTCCAGTCAAGAAAATTGTATTCACATGCATATCCGCTCTAAGAGCAATGTAACACAGGGTTGAAACAGCATGTCTGTTTCTATCAAATCCACCTCAGCATTTGGACAATTCAGTCCATTTCCTTTTGTACTGTATTATAATGCTTAGTTAAAGTTTCAGAACTTTAATTATCTGTATTCAATTGCAACTAATTTGCTCTACCAGCTTTTTTTCCTTTTCATTAATTAGTCTGAAATCCAATTCTAGGGAGTGCTCCAGAGGTCTTTAAACTGTTAGATTTGGCCTGAGCTGTGCTGACATCAGACCAATGGCCGCAGCACCGGGTACATCCAGGGTCCAATATGATTTGTTAACTGCCTTTTAGCAGTCTGCAGCAGAGCCGCTTTGGTGAAATAGCACATCTCTCCTTTTCTGTTTCCCTGTCAGATTCGACACCATTTCGGTCACACTACATTGATGTTTTTAGGGTGCCGCCAAAAAAGGTTCTTTAAAGAAACATTTGAAGACTCATCTCATTGTCCTCTCTGCAGTTGCACAGTTGTCTGCTGCAGAGGTTCGATTGCAGTGCACGGAGGAGCGATTGAGAGAGAGTACATTTCTCCTGTGTCTCCATTATGCATTTCCATATCTTCTCCTTCGCCAAATGAGTCCTTTGTCTGCTCAGAGACCAGCGCTAATGAGAGAGTTGCTCTGCAGCATTTTAGAAGCCATTGCTCCCCCATTCATCAGGAGAGATTTGTGTTCAGACGTCTGTTTTTTCTCCTCAGCCACCCCCATCTCTCTGCTCTCTCTCTCTCTACTCTCTGATTTATGATAACGAGGTTGTTGGCTAAAACCAGCTCTTATCGACCAAACAAAATGGCTCCCAGCTTTCTGTGTGCGTGTGTGTGTGTGTGCGCGCGCATCAACTAGCATGCTTTTTGTGTGTATTGTTCCCTGGCTCTATGTTCTGTAACTGACTATGAATCTGAGCATCTGTGCTTGCCGGTCAGTGCTTGTGTTCCCTCATGTGCAAGAGCGTTGCCATGTTCTATGTGAATGTGTGTATGTGTGGGTGTGTGTGTACATCCCCACAATGAGAACGAGATGAAAGGCCGCTGTTCCTGTGAGTCACAAGCTGCTGCCTGTTTCCTAAATGGCCCTGAATAGGCCGTCACTCAGCGCACTGAAGATGATCATCTCTGCCTTCCATTCACTTCACAAGCACATATAAATTACACATATAAATAGTACTTCTACAAGTAAAGAACAATAAGATGAAAGGCACTGATGGACACGTACAGAGAGAATTGTATATGTGCATAAATATAACAATACACAAGAAATGCACACTTGTTAACACTCATAAACCTATCATGAATTAAAGTAATAGGGGGAAAAAAGACAAATGAATATGAATTTTGCCAAGCAATAAGACAAAGAAATATGGTGACACACTCAGACTGACTGACAGATACACAATCTCATAAGTCCCATTTACAGGCATATACATCTAAGAGAAACCACATGGGAAAAAAGTCAGGAATAAGGAAAAAAGTGAGTTATATAGTATATATAAATATACTATATATAATAGTCATTTGAGACACATATAATACCAGCTTTTGTTAGTGAAAAATCAAAAATTTTAATTGTCTCTTTTAACATATTTGCTTCATCTGCATGTGATTTATTCTGTGTGATGTACTCAGATGCTCCACTACAAGACAAACAACTGTGATGTCTCTTGTCTGTGTTTTCCATGATTGTCCACAAGCCCAAAAGGTCTGAGATTACTGCAGAAAAAACCTCTGAAATTACTGTTTGTTCTCTTTTTTCTCTGTATTTATCTCCCTGTCTTTCATGTTGTCTCTCACCCTGCATTCACACTGCAGGCAGCATGAGTGATGTGATGCTCTATTCTGGCCAACTGTGACTGTCTGTATGTAGTAGTGCAAGTGGAAGTGTTGCTTTGATGGGCTCCTCATGAGGCCACAGTCATGAAAGCAATGAAAAGCCATGTGTTTTTGATGCTTTAATTCGGTTATTTCATTTTGAAGAGACATCGTTTACTAGAATGCATTATTTACATAGTAAACAATGAATATTTTTTTGTCATTGTGCAGTTCTATTGGTTATTTTCGGATCACTTTGTTACAATGTTAAATGTCCTGACACAGTATCATAGGTGTAGTGGAGAAAACAAATGCTACAATGTAAAGCGTGCTGCACTGTACAGTAAATGCAGTTGTTTTAACAAAAACATTGTTCAAACAGATTACATTGAAAATTTTAAGTGACACAAACTAAAAGTTCAGAAAGTTCTTTTCTAAGCAACTTTTACAAGTAAGTGACACTAACCTAGTTTTATAAGTTACAGAAAAATTCCTGATTAAGTAACCTGATTCAGAAACTAATTTTATTTTGATTATTTCTCTTGGCCATTTTGTCAAAATGAATGCCAAATGCCCGCCACAATTTACCACAGCCCAGTGACTTACCATATTGAGATTTCTGACTTTGTCTGATAATTAGTCATGTCACTTCTCCCAAGGGTATTAAGTATTATGATTTGAAAATGAGAAAAGCAGCAAATCTTCACATTAGAGAAGCTGCAACCAGCAAGTGCGTGGGATTTCTACTTAATAAAAGGCTTAAAATTATTATCAAAACATTCTTCAACTTAATTGGTATTTCACTTATGAAAAAAAAAAGTCATCACAAATGTCACGCTTCTCTGTTTCTTTTTGTCTGTATTCTGCTTCTCTATTTAATGTCATTTCAACTCATCTCACTGTGTGGGCACCAAAGCGGAGAGAATCAGTGTATCAGCCTCATGCTTCTCTCCATCTCTGCTCTTCCTTCCCTTTTACATTTCCCTCGTCCTGCTTAATTCCCAGCTCCTTACCTCCGAGCCCAGCGCTTCCGCGTCGCTCATCAACCTTTGTTGGTTATTCAGAGTTTAACTTTCATTGAAATTGTGTGAGAGAGCGGAGGTAGCAATAACACAGGCAGTATTATCATTTTATGATAGGGAGTGAGGTGAATTTTGAATTGAACCAATGTCCCTTCCGCCCTCTTTCTCTCCCTCTCACTCTCTTTTACACACACACAGACACACACGCTCACAAATGAACTATTTTTGATTCATCTCAGTTAAATCCTTTTCCAGTTTGCTTTATTGACATGGGTGTTAAATGAACAGCATTACCAAAGCAAGGAAATAAATTAGTAACAAAAACAAGAATGTAAAACATTAATCCTAGCTAAAAAAAATCTGAAAAAAACTAAGTGATGCATGCACACTAGACTGCGAAATACCAGAATGAGCACTTGGATCTAAACGTTTGTAATCCATCCTTACAGATTCAATTGCTTTGCATTAGTTCCAGTGCACATTTACAGTGTTGCCAAAGCAGGAATGAGCTCAAGAAAGAAAACACACAGGTCTGTGTGTTTTCTGTCTGTGTGACATGTAGTAGAGATGTGGTTCACATGTTAATCTCTCCGTTCTGTCTCTTTCACAGGGTCCCATAGAGAACGACATAGTTATTCACGTGGCCCTGATAGCAGAAAGCCAGAGGTAATGTGTGTGTGTACATATGTGTGTGTGTCTCTTAATGTGTTGCAGGCCATAAAGCGTGGTTATTTTCCGCTCCTCTCTCCTATTCAGCTCTCTCAGTGCTGTAATTGTGATGAGCTCATAAAGCTGGAGCTCAGCCTGACCTCTGCCATCATCTGTCACTCTTCTTATTGTGTGCGTGGGTTCGTGTGAGTACGTCTGTGTGTACGCACACTTGGATACATGTGTAAGAGTGTGGGTGTATGTGTGTCAAACAGGGTCAAACGACTCTGTGAAGCTTGTTAACCTGTAGCTTCAATTACTGCTGCTGGTCAGCCCCCATCAAGACTCGTGCATCATCTTTCTCACTGCGGTCCACTTATTCTCTCCGGTGTGTGCTGTGGCTCAATAACAGCTATAGCTTCATGATAAAGATTTACATGAGTTTTATATTTACCGGAACACGAGGCCAATAGCTATAGCTTCAAGGACTACTGTATAGACTCATAAAGCCGCAGATTTACAATGTATGATTTAAAGGTCAACGGCTGCTGAAAAAACAGTAGACTCACAAGGGGATAATTGGTTAAAGTAATTTCCAGCATTTCTTTTGAAGAAGTATAAAGTCACAAACGATTAAATACATATTTTTGTATGTCTGTGATTTGGGACTCGTAGAAGGGTTGTTTATTTCCCAAACAGCAGGTAGGGAAGGCATTTATCAAGTTTAAAAGGGCACCAGTGCCAGCCACAGCTACATAGCCTACACAATGCCTGAAATTATAAATGCAATATTCTTATTGTGTGTGTGTGTGTGTGTGTGTGTGTGTGTGTGTGTGTGTGTGTGTGTGTGTGTGTGTGTGTAGACTGCAGGTGTTTTTGAACACCTATGGCATTCAGACCCAGACGCCCCAGCAGGTGGAACCAATCCAGATCTGGCCTCAGAAGGAACTGGTCAAGGTAACACAGACACACACTGGTCACACATTGGTCAGTCGCCGACTTTCGAAGCTGTTTACAGATCCCCACCCCCCCATGGGTATTGTTGCTATGTCCATCATCAGTCAGTCTCCAGCTGAGTTTCCAGTTTGTATCAAAAAGAGAAACCGCTAAAAGAATTTAAAATATGGATTCATAGTTTGACCTAAACCATATGAGGAAGGTTTTCATATCGGATTGTAATTAGAATTAGAGAACTGCACTGTTTAATCTGTTCCTTACAATACTCTTCTTTTTGTTTTGGAAAGGTTGGTCAAATGACACCATCCTCCAAGCTCTTCATGTGTGGTATATAGCTCCTATTACAGGATAAATACAGAGCTTAACAGACCTGGTGTGCCTGGTTACAGTTGCTAGGCTATGATTGGACAATCACTGTCCGAGGGAGAATTGAGTCAAGACCTCACTCATTACATTTCAGCGGTTACTTTAGCCGTCAATACCTGAGCAGAACTTGGCTCGGTACATCCATCTGCCTGTCAGTCCAAGATTTCCTGCTCTTAAGATTTTCCTCACGATTGTCCCATCAATCACAGCAAGGCTGCGGATTGGCTGAAGTGACTGATCAGTCGAACAGTGATTGTTCATGTTGATTGATCAGCGTAATGGTGGAGCCGTCACTGTGTCACTCAGGCAAATTAGAGGTTCATGAAGCTGAGCGGCTACGTTAGGCAGTTCTGTAAGAGATGAAAGATATTCTGAATGTTGACCGGTGATATTCAGAATGGCTTATTTAGAATCACATTATTACCTTAACAACTGTTTCACTCCTGCATTTGAATACTTGGAGGTCAAAACAAGCAGATGAGTTTGTGGAGTTGAGGATCTTCTGAAGAGAATATTAAAAGAGCTGTAAGCTGCAGTCCGGTGAAATTTAGAGAAGCTGTTTTTTTACACTGGTATTATGATACTTATTCAACCCATGAAAGATAAGAAAAAACAATATTGTTATTGTTTACATTTTCCAAACCTAAATATCTATAGTTTGTTGAACAAAAATGTCCTACCTTCTTTTTTATCTCTTTGTTGCTCATCAGTCACTTTAGTCTTTTCTCCAGGTCACGACACTGTCATGGCTGTATTAAGTGACATTCTACTGAAATAGACTCTATCTGTTTATGAAGAATGGAACAAAAGGTACATTTTTACTTTAGCAGTAATGCTACTCTCACACGTCAGACAGTAACGTTTTGTGGCAGCCCTAATGCAACTAAAAACTGAAATTCAGTACGCAAAACCTGTGAAAAATCCCTGCTGTGGCTTTCATTATTCATATTTTGTGTTCTCAACAAAAGGAATGTGAATTTCATCAAATCTGAATCCAGAAGCAAGACTACTCATCATATCTAAGAGCTAAAACTCAAAGACTGACATTCAGTTCAGTGTAATTCTCTAAGTTCCAATATATATAAAATATTTACTTTTTAGTTAGGTTGCTATGTTTTATACATGTACATTACTCTTTCATAAAAAAGGGAGACAGAAGATATTTTTGTTAGACTTAACTTGCACTTTATCAACTTGGAACTGGATCCAAAAATGGAGTCGCCTACTGGAACCCAACCCTAGTAAACAAACAATAGGGAATGTTAAATAGGTGAAAAGTTGACTTTACCTGGATGGAGGTAATGCCAAACCCTTGTGGGTGTAAATATCGCAGTGGGATGACGTAATACAATCAAATCTGTTTGGTTACTTGATTATTAACAGTGGAGGTACTCTGTCAGTAACAGGGGAAGGCACTTGCAGTCTTTTGAACATTTTGTGAGTAACAAGTCCAGCACTAGCTGCTGTTTCCTTCCTGTCCACCCTGCTTCTTTCATCTGCAGCAGATTACACCATTTGTACTGTCATATCTGTGACACCAACTACTACCTCCCTTCCAACTTCTGTTTCACTCCCATCGTATCCGTCACTCAAAGCCTGGTCTCTCTTCTAGATACTGTCCCTCATCTGCATGTGTACTGTTTGAAGTCTGCTATCTCCCCCCCTGTCTTTGGTCTCTCCTCTGTCATATCCATCACTCAAACCCTGGTCTCCTCCCTAGCCTCTGTTCTTCATCTGTCAGGTCTGTTGTGTTGTTCTATTCTCTACGCCACCTTCCATAAACAAACAATTTCTCCTATTGTGTCATCTCTGCGGTCTCTGTTCTTTACTCTAGGCCTTTCTACCTTCTGTCCATCTCCTGCTACATCCGTCACATCCGTTTCTCTAACCCCATTCTCCCCTCTAGGCCTACACCCTGCCCCGCCCCCATTATGTCTGTTACACCAAACAACTCTCCCCTCCAGGTCTATCATCTGCCTTTGAACTGTCATACCTGTTACTTTCTCCTTCTCTCCCCTCTGCCTCTTTCTGCTGCGTGGCGCTCAGTCTCTCAGATGGATATGCAATTGTGAGTCAGAGCGGGCGCTGTGCTGAATATTAAATCCTAAGCCCAGCCAGACGCTTCTTCCTCGACAGAATCTGTTTATCTCAGAGTCACCAACATCTCGGGTGCTGCAGGCTGCATTTGCTCACCTCACCTCGTCCCTCGCAGCCGTTTGATTGTGTTGACAACAGCTGCCTGACGATGGGAGAGTGGCAATTACATTTTGCAATGTGTTATTCCCACCCGTACACCCTAAAGCTTATCCCCTTGCAAATCACAGCTTTGGCCCAAAAATAGCCTTTCTTTTAGCTGCTTTTTTCCCGCTTTCATATCTGATACTCAATGTGGACATCACGCGGACGACATTTTGTTTGATGAGACTCCCATTCTCTCCGCATCTTGCGCTTTCAGGCAACACCTGGGGTCATCCAAATGAGGTCCTAAAGAGACACTCTGCACAAAGACTGCAGGTCTTAAGAAACATTAAAGGGAAATTACGGTATTTTCCCACCTTGATCTTATTCTAATACTTTTGTCAATTAAGATCATTGGTCATTATAACATTTTAGTCACCAACTCAGAGATTAGATAAAAATTTCTTATAAAACTGAATTTCTTTGTATTTACATTGCCCCTATGACTTTCATTCTTGCATTTCCAAAATCCCTCCAACAGAGGTGGTGAGTAACATTTTCATCATTCATGACCAGCAGTCAGAATGGACAAATATATGAATTATAAGACCCAGCTCAACAGTTACAAAAATTCTCTTTTTCCTTGACATTTAAAGAGTTATTGGTCGCTGTTATCATTTTCTCCTCTCCATTGTGGCTGTGACGAGATCCCTTGTTAATGTGAGTACAAAGATGAGGGTCAAAATCTGCAGGCCCTGTTTTGCAGAAGAATACAGTTAATAGTTCAGCAGAAGCCAATACAGTTTTTCTTTGTGTCACTATTCCTCCACCACAGCTCAGCAAGGAAATGCTATCCAAGGGAATTTTGAACTAAAAAGATGACTAACTTTGCAAAGATACACACTTCATTTAACTAACAACAACTGCAGAAGCCATTAGCTTTGCCTGAGGTTTAGAAAGCATTTTTTACACTGGAGGACTGTGGATGCCCAGTCTTTACTTACCAGTAGTTAGGAATTACTTAACAGGAAGAACAATTCCAGCATCCAACAACTCTTTCAATGTATGACCCTTTCCTTTAAAGACATTTTATGGGGCAAACCAGTGGGTACAGAAGAACCAGAAGGTTTAATCCCAAAGTCAATCGGCACATATAGTATCATTTTGAGCTATATTGCAAGATGCTGAATCCCAACCTGCACACCTACTGTAAGTCCCTCTGGATGACAGCATCTGCTGTAAAAGTAAATCTGTTATGCACATTTAGTGATACCAACAGTAACATTTACACTATTTGAGGCAGCAGCTATAAAAGTGTGCAAGAACCTTGTCCTGTCTCCTATCAAATTGAGGAATGTCCCTATACTAAATTAAAAGTTTTAGAAGGGTTTGTCAGTCAATACTTCATTCTCAGACATTGTAGCCACTGTAAAAATGTGAAATACAGCTTTTAAATATGGCATTTTATTACCCCTCCCACCTTTGTGCTGCGGTCAGTGTAAATGTGAGGGAATGAAAGGATGCTTTGAACGGCTGCCTGCGTGTTGTCGTTCTTCATTGGTATTCTGCACACAGGAAGTCTTGGGTGCAGAGGTTCTTCCAACCTCCCTTGGCTTTTCTCCTCCAGGTCTCATTCTTGCCTGTTAGGGCAGTGATTTGCAATGCCACTTAATCCTCAATTAACATTCTTTTTTTTTTTTTGTATAAATATGTATAAAGACAATTCCTTCTCTTCTTGTAGTGTAACTTCTTTTAATTGGTCCAGCCCTTGCTTCCTCCTGTTGTGTTCAGCTCAGCCAACAATGAGGAAGTACACTGGAGTAGCAGAGCACCACCTTTTGGCCGACATTGTGAATTGCAGTTTGTTTGAGATGGAAGAATGCGGCATTGAGGGCTTGATAGGCAGATTTCCTGCAGTGCCACTTGAGTGTGTGGGTGTACTGATGCTGTTTCATGATAGGACAGATTGGGTGGTATTTAAATTTAGAATTTATAGGTTGTCACAAAGGGAATAAGTACTGTGGTTTCACACTCAGCCAGACACATCAGAAAAGTAATTCACATACGTACACAACAGTCAGTTCAAACACACATAAATGGTAACTTGTGGTGAGTGTGTCACACCACTGGGCTCCGAGCAGGCAGAGCTGAGAAATCAATGTCCAGCTTCTTTCTCTTTGCATCTTTGAATTAGTGCATTTTGACAGCAGGCGACACAGCAGTAAGGAGCTTTTATCTAAAGCTTCAAAGAAATGCTCTGGAAACTGATAGGCTGGAGCTCCTGTATTCTCTCAGCTGCCGTCTCTAAATGCATTTCAGAGACGACTGAGGGAGAAGGCCATGACCTTTTTCTCTGCTTTGTTTTGACGAACTGCGGAGCCCTTGATGTAACAACTGGGTAATTAATGCAGCACCTGCGAGAAAAAAGATTTCTGTTTATCTGTCTTGCTCTTTATACCTGGGTAGTTGTGCAGCTGTATTACTAATGCCACAATGAGTGCAAAATGCTTCAAGTACAACTGTGTTGTTGGTTAGAGCTTGGGTTAAGGTTTGAGCTGCATCAGCCCTGAAATCTAAATTGAACTTGTGGGGGAGTCATACTTTTTCCGACATGACTGACAGAATTTCAGTCCACTAATTAAGTGTGGAACTTGACCTCAGCTACTCTAAGCAAAACTTCTGCAGCCAAACTCTGTCAGAGTTGAGCAGTAATGTCGAGCTCTCTCCTAGCTTTTGCACGCTAGACATCCTGCACTGCTGATGTTAACATTTTTCAGCTCCTGAAGTTGCTTTATACTTGACATTTGACTTGACACTGTGTTTTCGCCTTGAGTCTGTGGGACCAAACTGAGTCTTGAGGCATGACATCTGACTTACAGTTAAACTACAGAATACCTTATTGAAGAGGGGGTGGACTTACAGTGTGTGGACAGATTATGCATTGATCAGGCTCAAAATAAAGGTTCTCTTTCCACCTCCAATATATAGCTATCCTTGCGGTGAAAGTTGGATTGGAGCATTTTTATTGAGTGGAAAGTGTGGTGCTGTACCCAAGGCACAAAAAAAAGTTTTAGATATCTGTTCAATGAGTAAGTGACTAATCTGACTAATTTCATTTCAGTTTCATCTGTTTAAAAATCCGGTCAATCTACAGCAAGAAAAAGACTCAACTGATACATTTTAACCTGTCATAGTAATTTATTGTAGCATTGCATGCCCATAAACAACAACGTCTCTTCTTTACACCCTCCCATACAAACTCCATGCTCTTGGTTTGTAACATAGGCTTCCTGTTTTAAATGTGTAGTCTCCAAGCAGTATACCAATATTTTCTCAGACTTGACGAAGATCCTTCAGGGCCACAGACATTATACAGCCATGGCTTAGTTATACTCTACATGATTAAACTGACTTAACTGTAAAATTGTACACGTTTCTCTTAACAAATGAAACTGAAAATGACCATTACCTGGAAAAGTTAGGCCTTCACCAAACAGCAATTTTTCAGTCATATGTGGGTGGTGATCTTTTTTGGCCTTTCTAAAACAAAAAACAAAAGAGCAAAATTGGAAGATATTTCTTAGCAAGTGGGGCAAATTGTTTTGCAGGACACCTATTTCATCAGAAATATCGCCATTCAGGACTGCCACATCCTCTGCATGGAAGCCACAATGCTAGTTAGAGTAACAATAGCGACCCTGTCCTGCTCTTTATTTAGTTTGGCAAAGTTTACACTCTGATTACTCATGGGTTAGACCTCATCTTCATCAGACTTCTTTGCTCGGACAAATTAGAAACATTATTCGAAAATACGAGCAATAAAGCATAAATGGAACCCCTGTGTTGTGTGTCTGGGCATGTGTTTCTACTGTATAACAGTCTAACATTTTCAATTATGATACTGTACTATAATTTCAGATTGAACTTGCTTCACCCTCCATTACAAGAACAATGCTATTTCTTTATTCTTCTCTATTTCAAGTCAACTGGAAGCATATAAAGTCAGCTTGAGATGGCATTTAAAGCCAATTCATGGAGTTGGCCTTAATTAGCAAGCAAAATAAATCTGAATAGATCTGCTAGCAACAGTAGACATTTAAGTGACAAAATCAACTGACGGCAGCTACAACTGAAAAACCTGCTTTTGTTTACCTCTGTGTGAAATGAAGACCCATTGTTTAAAAAAAATTGTAAATATGCGTGGTGAATCTGTTACTGTTGTAGACGGCATATGTGGTATAATGGAATGGAAAGCACGGCAGGTAACAATAACTAAGGGGGGTGGGGCCTGGATGGATATTTTTAGCAGTGTATAATATGCTAAGTGGCCCATTCGGGAAGTATCAAACAGCATGTTGTCGTTTATTTATTCTAATGAGGGCTCAGCTAGGTCTCTGTTTCTCTTCTTACGGGCCTCTGCATCTCAGCAGATAACAGCGTTATCAGCTCCGGTGCCCATGGGTGTACTTGGGTCCACTAAGCACGCTGCTGATGGCAGCAGAGGGACCTTTCATTATCGCCACATCTCATAACTTTACACAGAGCTAATATCAGTAGGTGGCTGTGCCATATGGTTGTAATTTCAGTTTATGCGTTGCAACAACAGAAATGTCTCAGTGGGACAGACGGATGATGGAGTCGCACTTTCATTACGATATGGAATGGCACTGTGCGGCATGACATTTCAAATCAAATATGATATTTTTAATCTCAAAGCAATACTGATAGGATCACAGGGAAATGTACAGATAAAGATTTTAGTTTTCTTTGTAAACAGAAAGGCTGGCAGTAAGATTGTGTCCAATATGAATGCTGTGTTTATTGACAAGGTATCTTTTTATGTGAATATGTGTGTGCATGTGTCTTTCTGCAGGCATACCGTTTCCTTGCTGTGAATAAGAAACTGGGGTTGAGTGGGCGTCCAGATAGGCCAGTGGGCTGCATCGGGACCTGCAAGGTATATGTGCTTGCAAACACACCTACACACGTACATGCTGGCGCATGCACACACATATGTGCACTTCATGTTGCCCTGCTGCACAGGTCATGAGTGACCACTAACACTACTCCCACATATTGATCTGCATACATTTCCCAGAGCTCTCGACTGCAGCTCAGAAACTCAACACAAAGACAGAAAATACTCAGTTCCAAGACTTTTTATATTCTTCTATACAGTATACATCGGTGAATGCTGAATAGATTTAGCTTATTCTTAGGACTTATTTTATTTTAAAATGCTAAGCTGCTGTCAGGCAGTCTGTGTGTGTCCCTATGCATGTTATGTAGCCGTGGAAGTGTGTCTGTACAGTTCATGTGTGTGCGAGTGCGTGTGTGTGTGTGTGTGCTAACGTCTCTTGCTGATGTTGTTTGCAGTTTCTCTCAAATGAAGGTCATAGCACGACCAAATAAGTTGAGCCATAGCAGCTTTCTCAAACAAAGACATTGCCAAACAAATGAATCATGGCTCCCAAAGCATTGCTAAGACAATATTATAATGGAACATTTATGGGGAAGATGGCAGACTGCCAGAGGGCATTATCATCATCAGTGTGTCTGTAGGGTTGTGTGTGTGCCCCTGTGACAATCTGCCTGTGTGAAAGGGAGCTTTGTACGAGTTGTGTGTATGTACTGTATATGTGTGTGTTATCCGGAGTGGTTGTGTAGCTTCTGTGTGTCCCCTCTATCTTAGGATTGATGGGTTGTTTTATACACTGCCCAGAATAATGTATACGTGGCTACTTGTGAGCCATCCGTCTTCTAATGCAGTCCTGTGTGTGTGTGTGTGTGTGTGTGTGTGTGTGTGTGTGTGTGTGTGTGTGTCTCTCCCTCCAGATTTATCGTATTCTGGGCAAGACGGTGGTGTGCTACCCAATAGTGTTTGATCTAAGTGACTTTTACTTGTCTCAAGATGTTATGCTGTTGATTGATGACATTAAGGTAAGCCAGGGTCTCACTTATGGAGCTCACCGATGCCATGACTCCACAGCTAACCACTTTATATGTGCTTGTAGAACCTAAATGATAACTGAGATACATGCAGTCTGACATTTGTGTAAAAGACGGGAAATCAGCTGAGTTTGATTGCATACTTATTTTACTTGGCCCCACAGAAAGGGCACATACTAGAGTCATAGTATCAGCACTGATACTGGCTTCTCCTAAACTCTGTAATTCATTTAGTGCTTAAATTGTAACATAAAAGGTGCCAGTAGTCTAAACCGGTTGTCTGCCTAGCTTGCACAAGCAGTATTTGAGGCACAAAAATGAATAATTTGAGGGTACAAATGATTAATTCATAACACTAAATACTGATAATAATGAATGTGAAAGAATGATCAACAATTTTACAGCAAAAACAGAAAAATAAGCACTTAACCAGCAGTTTTCCAGCTGAATTAGACCTCTAGCTCACATTGTAGCTTTACAGTTTTGCCTCCTCCTGCAGCTCTCTTGAGCAACAAACTGCCCTATTTCCCCATACACTTATAATAACTTCATCATCTGTACCTGCGGTACATTCATTAAAAAGTGGCAGCACTGACTAATGAGTACTGAGATGGACAGAAACAGAAAGTGCTGACAGTACTGACTCAATTCAAGCACTAGATTTATTGATTGATGATTGAGTTTGCAAGCACACAAAACTACAGCTTGTTTCTCATTCAAAGTGCTTTCCTTGCAGTCATAATTAATCATTTTTATCACTAACTGATGTCATGTAGTCATGGAACAGCTTCCAGTCGGTTGACAACAGTTTTAAAATTGTAAAAACGTATGAAGAGGTTCTTCTTTTCTGAAACAAAGCATCAGCTCAGACTATATTGTGTCAAATCACAAATAGTCAATGTATATACCTAATGTAACAACTGTTACATTTTTGTTTAGTCTATATTCTAAACATAACTGAATTTTCAGAATCAAAAAGTTTGCCGTTTAAACTTTGATCAGTTTGACATTTGAGGCGTTTGAAGTTTGGGAGCTGCAAGTTGAAGAAATGGAACTGATTCAATTTATGCTCAGAAACAGTGGAAACTGAAATCTTTGAACCAGCACCATGCCCATGCCAATCTGAAATGGTGTCTGTGTGTGTGTGTGTGTGTGTGTGTGTGTGTGTGTGTGTGTGTGTGTGTGTGTGTGTGTGTGCACATGTGTGCACATGTGTGCAGAACGCCCTGCAGTTCATCAAACAGTGCTGGAAGATGCAGGGACGTCCTCTCTTCCTGGTTCTCATTCGCGAGGATAACATCAAGTAATATACACACTCCATAATAGCTGCTTTATCTTTTTCTCTGTCTTCCTGTCCTCTGATAGCTTTCTCACATCATTCTTCCTTCTCCTATCTCTCTATACATCACCCTATATCCCTCTTTTTCTGTCTGATACGGGCTCAAGCTCGCAACAAAATGTCTTGACACTCACAGTTTAGTTTTTTTTTTATCCAGCTTTTCTCTCTCTCCCTCCCTCCTTCTCTACCTCTCTTCCCTTCTATGTATACTATTTATCTTTATAGCAGGAAGGTGCAACTGTATTTGCTTGCTGATTGGGTGATAATGTTTCTCATTTGTATCACTACAGCGTGGCTGGTGGGCTGATTATAGCGGTATTGACCATTATCCAGGAAGCCGTATGTTAAATGTGCTACAAACACTTAAACAGCCACACTGTAGCATCTGGAATGAGTCAGTAGGCTCTCATAGAAGCAGCTCAATAGTCGTTAGTTTGCTATTGATCGGGATGATGACCGGTATAAAAGGCGACAGCAGACCGAATAAAGCAATGAGGGTCTGGGTGAAATGTGTTGATTTATTGAGAAAACTTTCAGCTGTGATGATTTCATACTGATGATATATATAGTATATAACAGTTAACACAAATGTTTGGACTTAGAATTCACTCTACTGTGCACTGTGAAAGAAATCCCCATTTTGTGGATAATTTTAACCTGTGTCTCTCCAGGGGGAGCCGCTTCAACCCAGTCTTGGACATGCTGGCCTCATTCAAGAAAGGCAACATCGGAGGGGTCAAAGTTCATGTCGACAGACTTCAGGTTTGTCCAATTAAAACAGACTTGTTCATTCTTGTATTGATTCTTTCATTTGGTCTTCCTTAATCACTCTTCATTTTAGGGATGCCAATTTAAAGGAATTTCCTTCATTGATTATTGGAGGTATTTTGTAACAATCAGTAGTTAGTTGATTGTTAAAAAAATGACAACACAAAGTGTGAGTTTTACATAATTACAGATTTTATTTTTTGAATGCTAGCTTGACTCAATCAGCACACAATCCAAGTTAGATATTTGAGCAAAAACAATTTGAATTATTATAACAGAATAATGTTTTCTTCTGACTCCCTTTTAGCTTTAATCAACAAATGACTATACAAATTTAAAATATTGATTATAGTTAATAATGTTCTACAAACAAAAATAAAATGAGACTGAACATCATGTACAGAATAAGCACTTTAAAACACAGTCCAACCCATTACTCTTGTGTCAGCAAAAGGGCTGTAGCCTTCCCTGTTACCAAGTAAGCATAAAATAGGTTACACTGATCTCCCCACAACCGACTTCAGTTATACTGATTTTATTCATGCAATAAGCATACTTAAACTATGTTGGCCATCAGACTTGGTTTCAGGTCATACAGTGGTTCCTGCTTATGTGTCCATCATCTTTACGGTATATTTCATATCGTATCTTCTTCTATGTTCTTTTATGATGAACAAAACAGGACTCATAGATTTCACTGGTCGATAAAACAGTTTATTGAGAGGATCAATGGTGTTAGGTCTTGACATTATCATGACTCCAATCCATACAAGTGAACCAATCAATGTTACCATTAATATTACTGCACTTTTGATTGTTTGCATATTGTGAAGAGTTTTTATAAAAGTGGCTGTCGGGGGGGAAATATGCCACCTGATCTCTCATGTTGGCTCAGTTACAACGGATATTACAGCCGCCTGTGTAATAAACCACGGCTTAATATTACAAATGTTTCAATACATTTGTGTTGCAGGGCTTCATCTCTTTCTTTGGGAAAAACAAAAGCTTTTTCTCAGCCGTTAATCTGTTGTCCCTTCTTATTTCAATAGCAATACCAGTGTTTGTCTGTGTTTTGACCTTGGTCTGTCAGATTTAATTTGGGAGGCAAACTGTTTTTGTTTGCCTGGGAAAGGTGAAACTGAATTGAGCTTGGATGGTTTTAAAAAGGGGATGGAAACTACTGTGGTGAAGCCTGTAGTGGCTTGTTAAAAATATATTGGAATGACTTTAGGGGAACGCAACAAATTAAATGGTGAATTAATAGATTAGAGGTTGATCCCTCTAATGTATTTTTCTGCTTGCTGAGAAGACTGTCAAGAAACCTGAATCGACACTCAGTGCCAGCATAGATTAAGGAATCAATCTACATTACTGGATGATAGTGTGTCACAGACACTGTGAAACCAGAAGGGGTCAGACAGGGTTCCAGGGTCAGTGTATCCTCAGTAGACATTGCAGTGCCCCCTAAAAGCTTGCAAGGGTGTAAGAAAGGGTAACTGTAAATGAATGCTGAATCGCATCTAAAAACAAAATACCACTACAAGGATTAAAGGGAAATAGTATAATGAGTCCTATTTTCTAGATTTTGCATTCGTATCTGTTAATTAAGTTCAACTGTAACTTTGTCGCTTAATTTAGCTTTATCAGGATCATTGCTCTCCAAGCCAGCGGAGGGGCCATGAGAACACACCATAATTCCTTTAAAGCTGCTATAATCAGTATTTTGATATCTACATTGGATCACATGACTACATGTTATGTGAAAGGTGTCGTTCATAGTATATACCAGAATATATGTACCACAGAGGATGATCACCCCACGCTGCTCGATGGAGCCTTCTAGCACCTTTTAACTCCTTGTTTTGGCTTTACAGCCGCGCAACATTATTGTACAGTTTAGTCTCATCACTCTCATCAACATCATTTCCAGCAGTAGCAGCAGGCAGCTGTTTTCAGAAAACTCACTGCACACTATCTGCCTAGCACCAAAAAGCAGACAGGCAAAGTTAGCAACTATTTGGTGAAGTGGCTGAAAGGAAGGTGAACATGGGACATTCACCAGGTAGACACAAAATACTTTTTTTCTGCATCTGCTAGATGAGTAAAAACCATCAGTTTTATAAAGAGTTCTTCATATCCGCTTAGTAGGTGATAATATGTATGTGTTGCGTGTGCAGCTTGATTTTACTGCCCCCAAGTGGTCAAACAACAAAGTAAAACTTACACGTCTTTATACTGAGTGAAGCATTGCTCACGTGCTCTTTATTTTGCTGGATTTTGTCCATGTCATCTCTCAAAGCACAGAATGCTCACAGCAGTATTCATGAATTTACAATGAACCATAAACAGTTAACTGTGGATGATATTTATTTTTTATGAACACAATCAATCGTTGTGATGGCTAAAAGCAAGAAAATAAGGCCAAGGCAGAACTAGAGTTATTTTCACATTGGTAACTTTAACCAACTGCACTGTCAAACTTCTGACAGGTCTTCCAACCCTAACTTCTCTCCCAGTGTGTTTGTGGTGTTCAGCAGAGACTTCCTCATATGATCCTTTTTTTCTTTTTTTTTGCATTAAAGTTCTTGCTTCCCTTTGCCTATTTGCTATTCACTTCACAGCTAACTCCTACAGCTTTGAAACACTTCTCCTCTTCATCATCTCATTGTTATGGGGAGCAGGATTGCTCCACTCATACGCCTCTTATTTTTGTTTTGGAGTTGACTTCAGTTGGAATGGCTAATATCACATTTAGACCACAGGAGCAAGTGGTATTGAACTGCTCTCTTTACTCCTACACTGTTATGCTTTTAAAATACTCAAACTTTTACTGTGTTAGACACTTGGTTGTTACTGCTCCTGTACACATTTGTAAAATCTCAAACAGTTAACTTTGTTCACACCTTACTACTCCATGTGTTATTTGTTATGAACTGCATTATTCAGTTAGTTTTTGTGTTTGTTTTGTGTACTGAATTGCCCGACATTGCTCCTCTTGGGGATTTATACAACTCTGTTTTCTCACCTCCTGTATTTTTATGCTCCTGAGCACACCTTCAGATATGATTTCCTCATACATTTCTTTATCTTTTATCTGTCACTAATACTGCAGTCTTTTATTATTAACATCATCAGTACTCACTAATATTCTAACTTTTTTCATTAGACTTCTGTTGGTCATACTGTAGCGTACACTCACTTCTATCTCTATATATTGTCCTATATTGTATTATAATGTACATACTTAGACTTTTATTATATTTTACTGTTTTCCAATTTATTTTTATTTAATGTGTATATACCGATATATACATTTCTATTTTTATTTCTAGATATATTGTTAGATATTGTAATATAATTATTATTTCTATTCTTTAATGTCGTCTGAGCAGCTTTAACGAACAAATTTCCCCCCAGGGATCAATAAAGTATTTCTGATTCTGATTCTGATTTACTCCTATCTGTACTGTATGTATATTACTGTGGTGTCTCTTGTGTAGGAGTCTACACTGACAGAATAATGACTTAGAAAATAATTTAATGTGCCTTTTTTCTTCATTAAGACACTGATATCTGGAGCAGTGGTGGAGCAGTTGGACTTCCTGCGTGTCAACGAGGCAGAGTAAGAGCTTCCTCTAGTTTTTATGCTTAATGTGTCAAAGGTCAGAACTTTTGCCCGTCTTAGTTAGTCTGCTGGCAGGATATTTTTTTTAAATCACTAAGGATTTCAACGATGTAAATCTGATAATGGCAATATAACTGACATAGATACTTGATTATGAATGTTTTCATGACCAATGAATCAGTTAAGTGTAAAATAACAAATTGTCAAATTTCTGTGGACAGGCATGCTATTAACACACATGGCGTAACTTGTGTGTTTGTGTGTGTGTGTACATAGGATCCCAGAGTTTAAGAGCTTTGAGGAGCTGGAGCTGCCTAAGCACTCCAAGGTGAAGAGACAGACGAGTACACCCAACGCCTCAGACCTGGAGCAACAGCCAGAGATCAGTGTGGAGGAGTGGCTGCACAAGCCCACCAATGAGATCATCCAGAAATTCCACGTGAGTTCATTGGCTTTTGGGGAACAGGGCCACAAATACATATTGGTATTAATAATTGCCATTAAGATAAAAATTTGTTTTAACAAATAAGAAACATGAGTAAAGCAGAGGAGCAGTAAAGTAAATACATACATAATTACATAAATCTCTGCTAATATTTAAAATGACAAGTTTCGTTCACAGCAGAACGAGAATTCTTTAACCATTAAATAAACCTGTCTGACAATATTATACGAATGAAATGGCAATATTTGAACTAGGGTCAACAAGTACTATTGATAGTTAGCACAACTTAGCATAGCTTAGCTATAAACATTAAAGCAGCAAATGTTGCTAGGTGTAACTGTTGCTACATTTGTAGCAGTAGTTGGTACATTGCTATTATATTATTCACTGTTTCCTTAACTAAGACTGGCAGAAGCAGTAAAAAAGGTACATGTGGGGCAGAAGAAATATACTCCCCCATCAAAGAGTGCTGCAGTAAATCCTGAGCAGTGTTCCTGAGGCTTGTCTGTGTACTTATCATACATTACAATAAATACATAGGTAGTGTTTGCACGGGTCTGCTGGTGATGAATCATGCTCTTGTCAGTGCACTATTCAGAGTGGCAGGTGAAAAGAAGCGTCGGCATCTCAATGTGTATTCGAGGTGACACATGACTGTCTGCAGCCACCCCCAGGTATACAGTGGGAGTTAGCAGTGACAAGGACTACAGCCTAAGAAATCTGTAAACTGTGGAGAAAAATGAGAAAAATTCTTCCAGTCAAACGCAGCAGTACTGCCAGAAGAACAGAATCTAACCTTCATTTGGATTTTACACAAACATTTAACCATTGAAATGTGTAAGTTAAACATGAAAGACCTTCATATTACTCAAATTGTATTCCTATTAATCAACACAACCTCTGGTTTCTTTTCACCTGGGGTAAACATCTCACAACCACCTGCCTCCCCCTCAGAGAATTGTGGGAACGTTTTGCCACAGTATTTGTATGGCTCATTGACATATCCCACTCTTGTCGAGGCTCACTTGGCCACCTGCCTCCTGTTTTATTATGACAATCTTATAAATATGTTCAAACATTTTTCCTGGAGCCCAGGTTTTGGGTAGCATCCGCCCAAGTCTGCTCACAATTAACAGCACTCTTCAGTCTGTCTCTGAACATGAATATTTTAAGTTTTCAAGTGATCATTCGTCATCATTCGTGTTCGGAAAAATCCAAACTTCAACTCAGCCCTTAGGCAATTGTAATTTGTTGGCTCAAAGAGGAATTCAGGATAGAAATCAGACAAAAAGTCTGAAAAGCCCCATCTACATCAGACTTTGTTGTGTTTTTAGTAATCTGTCATAGATAATAAAAACAATAAATTATTTACCTGAATACTCCTCTGACATGCTTACAAATGCTTCTTTCTTTTCCATATTTTAGGCACATTTAGGCTTGTATCAAATTTAAACAAGGCAGTACTTTAAAAATATAGCCATTATTACCACAGTTGGAGGACAGCACAAAACAGTTTGGTAATGGTAATAGTTTCAATATGCCTTGTTAGTGCTAGCTGTGAGTGGATAATATTGCAGCTGTATGTAGAATATGCAGTGTGCAATAACTTGTGTTTGTATGCTTGACCAGACTCATCTTCCCATTTGTCTGTGTGTGTGTGTGTGTGTGTGTGTGTGTGTGTGGTGTGTGTGTGTGTCAGGACTGTGACTGCTTGGCCAGTCAGGCTCAGCTTGCCGGCATCCTTCTTAGGAGAGAAGGACCAGACTTCCTTGCCAAAGACGGTAAGCACACACATTCAGCAGCATGAAGAAGTTGTCACTAGTTGTACTGAAACAGAACAGCAGATTTTCTCAGTTTTCTCAAATTTCTTAAATACAAAGGAAATGTGATCAGTTAGCAGCTTACGTTATTATCTGTCAATTTTATCCCGGATTTAAAACCCCTTTTTCACTGCTTTCATCATTCTTTTGATCAAGTACAGGTCTTTAGGGTGCTGTTGAATGGTGCTTTTCTATTAAGCTTAATTTAGCACTTGTGATTGACAGAGGATAAATGTGGATATGACTGTATATCTGTCTGTCTTTAACACAAACATTGTGATTGATTCCAGAGAACCTGATGGATGAACTGGAGAGAATCTACAGAAGAGCTGGCAGCAGAAAGCTTTGGTCTGATATTCTTACACACACACAAACAAATACACACTGTTGTCTCATTTTTCTTACCTTACATAGTCCAGATCAGATTTGTTTTCATTATAAAGTCCATATACCATAAACAGTAACACTTGGTTCACGCTGCCGACCTGAGCAGCGCGTGACGGCTATGGTATTGAATAGCTGCGACTGGCACGCGCATGGTGTTTACACCGACAGCGTGTCAGCTGCAGGGCTGCTGCAGAGCGGCTGCTGCCAGCGCTATCTTTCTATATAGAATTCGCCTTCGATAAATAGCATTCAATAAAATCCTTGTTAACATGTGAATGGATTCTGTCCACAGAATCTGAAAACAGATATGGGAGAACATTTTATTTTATATTTTTTCCACGTCTGTGACATTCTACAGATACAGATATTGAAACTGTAGTGAAAGGTGTATATGTTGCTGCTATATAATCCTGATCCTTTTCACTCACTATTTTTGCTGGAAACTGCGCACGGTTTATGGAAAGAATAGGCCAGACCTTGACTTTCTAATGAAGCGTTGTGACAGCTGCAGCAACTCAGGCTCAGTACAATTAGTATTTTATTTTGTTGCCCATTGACCTTCATCATTATAAGTCATTTTTAATTATTAGTGCTCTGTTGAATAATTTAGTGTGAACTAAAAGGGGCTGGGAGTTTATGTTGGAAAACTATATGAGATGTCCCCTTAACCAAATGTCTTGTCTCTGTACTTGCTGTGTCCCCGATTTTATCCTCACAAGATCTTTTCTCATGTTGGCACTTTAAAATAACTGTTATTTAATCTGGCCGGACTGTAGGCTGGCAGTGCGCTGTGCTGCTGCCATTATCAAGAAGTTCGCCAGCTCTATAGCTCCTCACATCACCACAATACTGGTGCATGGGAAACAGGTAATGTTCAGGCAGAGATGGACTGAAGACTCTGCATGTTCACTCCCAGTCTTTAGCTGTGTTTCCACCACAGGAACTTTCCTAAGACACTCGGAACCTTTGGAGGAACTTTGGAGGGTTCTGGGGACTATATTTTACCCCCCAAAAAGTCCCTGCTCGGGAGTAGTACTTTGGTGCTACAATAGAGGAAATCTGGGGGTGGGGCTCGCAGCGCTGAACAGTTCTAATTGGTCTCAGAGCCACCATTTATAAAACGCCACAAACCAGTTTGTTTTTTGTTCATTGTGCCTCACCAAATCATGGAATTACAGAACAAAAAATGCAACTGATGAACTGATGATGTCCAGTTATAGTATATGATATACAATAAATATATATTTTTCATACGTCAGCTGACAACAACGTGCTGAAGGAACCTTTTAGTTCCTTGAAACGTAGTTCCTGGGACTAAAAGTTCCATATACTTTGGGTGGAAACGCGGCTATAGCTAGCTGGCTAGCTTGAAAGCTGTGTGAAGTTCAGCCAATTTTGCTCATAACCAGGATATCAGCAGTGCTTTTTAAAAGTCAGAAAGAATCATTTGTTATATTCCATTTGTGACTCAATTATATTATATTGTGAGTCAATATTTTGACTCTTTCATTACCTTATGTAAATGAGCACATTCGAATAAAGACTTAAGCTATTCCTGGAAGGGCTAAATTAAAAAAATATAAATCCTTTGTAAATGTATAAAATACATTTATTATATAAATAAATATATGAAAACCTTCAAAGAAAACAGTTTTAACTAAGTGAATATTCAAAGTGACCAGTAGTCAGCCTGGTAAAAGGTGGTGTAATGCAGTAGCAGGCTGCTATCATAGCATCTTGCTAAAATGTTAACCAGTGAAAGCTATTTCTGGTTAAACCACCAGGTTTAGCGTAAGAGGGCTAACGCTCACACAGTCATGAGTTTGGCCAAGCCGTTAAGTCAAAGCCAGCAGGCGCTTTGAGTCAGATGTGTACAGGAGCTTGTCTTCAGTGTTTGCTTTCTCCATTAACCATCACAGAGGCTGGACCCTCGTTTCTGTACCATCAGCGACTGCAATAAGGCTGGCTGTATACTCCAAATGAAACAGAATTTGGCTATTGGATAAGGCGATACATGCCTTTACACTCACTGTTTTGTCAAGGGCATCCATGCTAGAAGGAGGAGTTGATAGTTGCTGTGGGAGCAGACACCTCTTGCAAATTCATCATAACAAAAATAAATATACATACACTATATAGAACAAATGAAACTCCAGCCTCACAGGATTTACGTAACCTATTTGGATTATGGTTGCCTTTGAACACTGTAGCACCTTTTGCATCTTAAAGGTGTGACCAAAGTTGACCTTTCACATTGACTGTTGTAATTGTATTTTTCTATTGTATATTAGGTTTTCCAGCTTCTTTTGGATTACGCCATCTTGCGTATTAATGTTTCTCAAAGCAAGGATACGTGTGAATCTGTGTTTCAAAGTCCTAAAAATAGTGTAATCTATTTTTTGAACAAACAATGTTAAATGAAATGTTTGTCTGGCAAGACGTTCCAGTCAAACAAAATAGCATTCTCTTTTCGATCTTCGCTAAAATTCGATTTTGTTTGTGGTATGCTGCTGGCCTGACTCACGAAGAATTGACCGAATATTATAGATGGTTGTCACAACTTCTCATGTGAGAGTTTGTTCCCTTCTTTAGTGGTCAGTGTTTTCTGTGTCCATGGTTTTCTGTGTCCATTTCTGTCAGATTGACTGACATGACAACTTCTATTATATGCTGTTTTATTAATTAATGTGATTTTACCATAGAGAAATTTGATTATGCCATGGAATAAAAATGTCCTGGAGGCTGGTTTTCAACTTGCTGGGAAATAACATCAATACTCAGTTCAATTTACTTTCTCATTTACCTAACATGGGCCAGGAAGTGAAGCTTGAAATAGGTTCCCCAACAAAGCATCAGTGGATTGACACCACATCATGCTTTCTAAACATTAAGGCTTTGTGCTCAAGATGTGCCTTCGTATTTCTGCAGGTTTAAGCACTGAATAACTCCACACACCCGCGCACACCCGCACAAACACTTGACACACACACACACACACACACACACACACACACACACACACACACACACACACACACGCACATAGATTATACTAGGGAAGTTCTCAGCATATAATAAGAAGAGGTTGTGTTTCAACTGATTGTATTTGTGACCCCATTAATGAAATTATTTTATTTGTTCACTGCTTCTGTGAGGATGGCTTCACTCCATGTTTGTGTCTATAGCAATCCTGGCTGTGGTCTACAATGTGAAGATAACCACAGTTTATGTGTGCTGCTTTTTCATCATAGGATTCCCGCAGGCAAGAGGAGGCAGTGTGAAGGCTGCAATGACTCTAGTGAATAATGAACTGAGAAATTAGTGAACATTAAAATATTTTCTGGGAAGCCAACCTTTATTTGGGGCTTTCATTAACTAAATCAGATTCATTCACTGAGACTGGGACTAACACATTAGCTATTTCTTACATGGTAGGAATCATTTGTGGGTTTTGTTTTCATTCATTTCATTCTGATGTTTGGATGGTTTGTAAATCTGGGGGCATTGAGTTGCTACAATTAGAAAAGGAAGCAACTAGCAAATTATTGCCTTTCATGTTAGTGAAATTTGTATGTATTTCTAATAATGCTGAATCAAATATTTGAGTAATGGTTCCATGTTTGGCCAGACCATACAACATATTCTCCACATATTCAATATTTTATTAGGCAAATCATAATAAAAATCACTGTTCTTGTGTCTTTTCACCCACTAGGTCTGTTGTCCGTCTTGCCGCCTGTCTCTTAACTAAGCTAGTGGACAGCCTTGCCCCCAGTATTACTAGTGTTTTAGTGCATGGCAAGCAGGTAAGTGGACACACAGAGAGCAGGGCCTGAGCAGTTTACCATCCCTTTTGTACAAATAATTTTGTACAAAGTTTGTACATCATGTTTGGGAAAATGGCATGTCGGGACAATGATTTTAATGTTCACTGATTTAAAGACATAAAATTTAAGATATACATTTATAAGCTCCTCATGCTGTCATCCTATGTGAATGACTTAGGCTAGATGCATGCTCATATTCCTCATCACAGCTCACCTCCATTGTGTGTGTATCTAAGCTGTAGTTGTTGCAAGGCTGCCAGTGTGACCAGCGCAAAATGCTAATATGCACCATGTCCACGTGTCTAAATAGACTCCATAAGCAGGTTTATGTGTTGTGACCCAGGGATCTGTCCGACGTCACTCCCTCATGCTGGATGAGTTTCGGTGCATCATTTCCTTTCAAGTGTTATTCAGAGATTAGCCTCCTCTCTAGAGTGTCAGTTATCTCGCCTCATTTTTACCCTTCTGAACAGTTTTAGGCATTTCATTATGCTCAAGTAGCTCAAGGTGTGAATCTGCATATAGATTGCTTACTGGAGGGAATGCTCCTCTCAACATGATTGGAAAAGCTGATTTAAGATTTGAGACGGCTGTGTTCCTCTGCTTACAATGACAGCCCTGTTGGGAGGAATAAGAGTTTCCTCCCCATTTAAGTAAATTCTGACTCTAGTTTTGATTATATTTCTCGTCAGTATTAAAATTCAACAATGTATTCTAGTTGAATTCAAAGTTGGTCATTTCCAAACATTTCCATCTCTATGCTGTTCTTTGCTCAGTTAGAATCAGTTCCCATGTAAAAATGAATGATACATTTTCAAAGTGTTGTGCTTCTGAAGGCAAGGATAAAAGTGAGTCCTCTCATCAGGAAGACTGGCGAAGTTTAATTTTTATGTGATGGCTTTCAGAACAAAAAAACAAAAAATACAAAAGAGCAATCTTGAGGTATGTAATTTTTTTCACTTTTATATGACTCTGGGAGAGGAGGCCAATTTTAGGGAGATGGAACAAAGTTACCTAAAGGAATTGCACCTTGGAGGAAGTGGTGCGCAGATGCCAATTTACACATGTGCACACTTTCACACACGTGCACCTGGATAGGCACATACTCACAAAAGCTTAGATATATTAAGCACAACATTTCTTCTGCACTGCACTTTCTAACTGTATGTGGGTCTGGTGTGTGCTCTCTTTCCTGTGATGTCACAATGCCTGCGATTACCAGGTGACCCTCGGTCTGTTTGGCCAAGAGGAGGAGGTGATCTCCAATCCACTGTCGCCAGGGGTGATCCAAGGCATCATCTACAGCAAGTGCTCCCCTCAGGGCGGAGAGCGGGAGGCCGTTCTTCAGCAAGAGCTGGTTATCCATATTGGGTGGATTATCTCCAACAACCCAGAGCTGTTCAGCGGCATGCTGAAGATCAGAGTCGGGTAAGGCAAATTGGGGTTCAGGATGGTTGCAATGGTGCCCTAACAACTCCTGTACGTTTAGTCAAGCAAGATGGCCTCATGCAGTATGTATTATCCTTCCCCAGCATTCAGACCACTCAACAAAACATGAAAAAATCAATACATATTAGCCTCAGTTCAGGCTACAGTTTGCTGTTAGCCTATCAAAACACCAGGAATGCCTGTGTAAAATATCTGTTTCCATACCAATGAGACCTTATGTTTCAGGTTGTTTTTCTGAAGTTGGTTTTTGCAGCACATTAACCGCACTGCAGCTCTCTTGGAAGTGGACTGAGAATCAATTTATAGATGCGCTCTGCAATAGAAGGATAAAGCAATTTTTCTGAACATGTTTGGTCCAAAAGAAGTACAATGTTGGAAGTAATTAGTTACAGTGTAGCATTTTATACTATCAAAATTCCCTCAGCCTAGTTAGACAAACACGTCAGCTTTGGTCTTTGCTTATTTCTTTGACTGTAAATTAAGATATTCTAAGCTGTAAGAAACTATGAAGCCATACTGAAAAAAAGGACACTATTTTGAACATGTATTTTGAAAAACCACCATGTAATTTCTACTCACCACTCCAGCTTCTACACACATACAATAAAAAAATGAAAACAACTATTTTTAAGTGGCAGTTCATTGAACTTTACAGGTGAAGAGAAGAAAATACGAGGTTGGAATAGATTAGGATAATGACTGGGTCAAAAGAAATGACACCCACCTCTCCCACTGGGGGTTGTGCAAAATTGGGAGAGGGGAAGGGGTAAAGAAATTTATAGTAGGAGCCACAGAAGAAGAAATGAGCAAGGATGGGCTCTCAACATCATAGCACATACACATTCTTGAGTTAGGAGTTCCTTCCAGTCAATAATAAACTCTAACCAGATACATTTTGTGATAAAGGCAATGTGAAAATGTAACATATGCACTGTGGATCTCCAGATGGATTGTCCAGGCCATGAAACATGAGCTGAAGATCCGGGCAGGAGACATGCCTACTCAGGACATCCACCAACTCTCGCCCAGCGACATCAAGCAGCTCCTGCTGGACGTCCTGCAGCCACAACACACCACTAGGTACTCTGCAAGCACACATTCACACTATCAAAAGCATTACCTGTGCTTTCTCATCCGCCTTTAAACTCAATCTGTCTTTGAAGACGCCGTGTCTTTATCTTCATGCGTTTACTTGTTGTGTAATCTTTTTAAGTTTTAATTATTTTATCTTCTGTCTTGTCTACATCCATATCCTTTTATCTGCTGCTGCCACAACCCAATTTCCCCATGGGGATTATTAAAGTTTTATCTTATCTTATCTAATCTAATAGACATTGACTCATAGACAATTTCCTCAAGCTCAGAGGCTATCAACATTATATTTCCCCAGTCTTTAAAACAGTTTCACCCCTCTTTCCCTTCAGGTCTTGGCTGAACAGGCGTCAGATCGATGGCTCTCTGAACAGGACCCCTCTGGGCTTTTATGATCGTGTGTGGCAGATCCTGGAGAGGACCCCCAATGGTATTGTGGTGGCTGGGACTCACCTCCCACAGGTACACAGCTGCAGGTTGAATACTCTGAACAATGCTGGTTAAATGTGACACTGTGTATTGTGTTCTGCTACAGTTAATAGAAACCTGCATGACTGCATTTTCAATTTTAGATGAAATTATATCCCTCACATACACACACTCAGTGTTTTGCTGTCTTTTAAAGAATACCTGAAAAAGTCTGATTAAGAGTGTTGCTCCCATTTATTGGTTGGTTCAAGGGCTAGTTCTTCTGCAAGTGTGGACCAGATAGTACAAAAGAAGTATGGTAATACACAGTACCTAATCAATTTAACGTGGTCAGTGTCTCCACTGAAAATGAAAATGTATTGCTTTGACTTTGCATAGTATAGTCTTTTAGTTTGTAAGTTTAATTGAAAAAAACAAATCTGCAAAGTTGTTCTTTGTTTAATCACTTTCCATTGTCATAATTATTATTTATTATCAGAATCAATAATCAGGGATGTCATTAATGGTGTTCTGCTTTGCTGCCTTTTTCACAGAGGACATTTTAAAATATCACAGAAGGAAAATCACAGGTTTAAATGAGAAAATTAATGATAGCTGAATTCCATTTAGCTGCTTCAGTTTCAAGGTCCTGGTATTGTGCATGTTGGCTCGTCTCACTGCCGCACTGTCATGGTTTACTGGGACAGTGTCTTAAATCACTTCATTACTCCCTATTTAACATACACTCAGTAGTATAGGGGTACAGTTCAGACACTGATAACTCCCACTTATAAACTGGTAATGTTGTTAGTAACATCTGTGCTTTTACTGTTATGAAGAGTTAAGATTTTGGCAGTGAACACCTATGTGCTGGCTAACAGTACTAATAACTGGTATTCTGTTTGTTAACGTATTGGAAAATTAGATTTTCCAAATGCTGAGGGACCAGTTCCAATTCCATTCTAATAACTGCATCTCTATGAAATGAAATAAAAATGAATTAAAAATGAACTGAATTGAAAATGAACACGTTTTCACAACTTACTCATCACTCATAATGTGTTGCTGTTGCCTGAGGACCCTCTCTTTCCAAACACTGACATTGACACCTACTGCAGGTACTATGACAGCAGGAAGGATATCCCACAATCCCTGCATGCTCACAGTTATGGAGTTAGGCGACTCAGACACTTTAATCAGATCAAAATAATTAAAACTGATAATTATAATCTTACTGTCTCTCTCTAGCAACCTACACTGTCTGACATGACCATGTATGAGATGAACTTCTCCCTGCTGGTGGAGGACACGCTGAAGAACATTGTCCTGCCTGAGTACAGACAAATCGTAGTGGAGGTAAATAAACACCAAAACAACCAAAAGTGCATAGAAGAGACTAAAAACATGAAGCTAATTAAATGTGTATGGATTTTTAATCAGCATGTCATTGACTTTGCTCCTTTATTATGGCGTCAGTCACATATCTCTGTTGAAGCACTGCGGTTTGTCCAGAATCAAGCAGCGAGGATATTACGTGGCTCCAGTTGCAGCAGTTCTTTACTATTTGGTTTGTTGCTGTTATTATGTGTTTAGTTTCTGACAGCCTTGTCTCTATCTCCATTGTGTGAGTAGCTGCTGATGGTGGTGTCCATAGTGCTGGAGAGAAACCCAGAGCTGGAGTTCAGCGATAAGGTGGATCTGGACGGCCTGGTGAAGGAAGCCTTTAATGATTTCCAGAGGGATCGCAGCCGCTTTGAAGGCATAGAGAAGCAGGTAGAGTGGCTTCCCTCTAAGCAATGGGTCAGCAACATTTACTCTCAAAAGATACATTTTTGGCAAGATATATTTTAGCCTTATAATGCTAATTATTTACTACAGATCAAGCATACCAGTAAACATTGATAATTCCGTGTTTTCCTTCTTTTTTTGATTTGGAATCCATAGCTAGGCTAGCTAGGGAGACTCAAGACTCATGTCCACCGCTAGTGAAGTTTGGCAAAACGGGACGTAATATATGACGCACATTTTAGTTGACGGAATATTGACATTTTATTTTCATTCGGTATATAATGGTTACACATATACACAGTTGGAGAATCTAAGAATCACTGTAGCTATGCAAAAATGTTTTAGTCAAAGCCACAGGGAGCCAATGTAGAGAGGCTAAAGGGCCACATGTGACTCTGGAGCTGCACGTTGCCTACCCCTGCTCTAGGCTGTCAGGTTAACTGATATAACAACATTTTCTCATTTGAATGCGACCTGAGTGTCTGCCTCAAAATTATCTCATCACCTTTCTAAAGTGATCCCAAATATTGAGCTTCTGTTCCAGCCGTACACTAATCATTTCAAGGGTTAGCGTAATTAAATGGTTTTTAAAAGCCTAATAGAAACAGACTGCCCCTGTCCAAAAAGAGCTTTTGTGACATATAATACTGCCAGGATGTTTTTTTTACGTATAGCATCCAATTTCTAAAACAACTTTTATGAGCATTTAAAGAAAAACATCTTGTAAACTTACAAAAATCATTTCTCATCTGTGCCTCTGCCAGGATGACATGGAGGCATTCTACAACACCCCCCCGGTGGGAAAGAGAGGCACCTCCAGCTACCTGACCAAGGCTGTTATGATCCAGTTGCTGCAAGGGGATGTCAAGCCCTGCAAGGACGACCCGTGCTCTGTTAGCTAGATTTACAACTCTTTGACCCCTAATCCCTGCCTGCCGCTGTGTAGTCATCAAATGGTCTGGCGAGGACTACAGAGTATCCATCACATGTATTCAGAAGATAACCTCTAGCCTCTCTAATGCTCCCCTTGGCAGGACACTGCCCAGTCCTGCAAACTAGATTTTTCCTGGAGTTTTCCCTGAACAACAGCACAGTTAGCAGAAGATTTAAGAGCCGTAGATTAACATGTCTGCCGTTTGCAGTTCAGTATGCCAACTGTGCTGTGTATTCAAATTAAGATTTACCTTGACTTGTTCTAGTTATTTATTACCATCGGTGGCTATTAAAGTCAAATACCACATAACTAGCTAACATTGCCACAACTGGCTAGAATTAGAATATTTGCACTTTGTTGTGATAATAGCATACATCCACCAGTTGTGCTTAACTCAGTAGCACCTAGAGTCTTGCTTTACCTCTACACATCTTTCAGTTCAGTTCAGTTTAGCTCCATCTTAGCATACAGACATGAGTGTGAATCAATCTTGTCACATCAGAGAATCAGCATGTTTCCCAACATGTCCAACTATTTCTTTCTTTTTTGGTGTTGCTTAGAAATCCAGTTTAAATGCTGTGTATCAGGTATTTCAAAATAATGCTACTATATACTGCTAAATGAACCATGGGCTCAGATCAACCGTTCAAACTGTACCTCACCAGCAATAACCTACAGCTGTTACATAGCAATTAGTCAGTATAATGAGAGATGTGGTTCTCAAATTGGCCCAATTGGCTCCCAGGGGCCTTAAAAGTGCATTGCATATCACCAGGCATAAAAAGCGGTTAGGTCTGCCATTATTTTCTTTATTGTTCATCAGTATAAATTAATGAATCATCATATTTTTTTTATATGGTTATATTCTTTTAAACTGTCTGTGGGTCTTTGTCATTAGAAGGCTTGAGAACCACTGCATATATTGAAATATTTGGATTTTATAGAGAATTACACAGTATATTCTGCTGAAAATGCATACATGTCAGCGTGTGTTGTTTGTTGAACTGTGCTGTGTTTCTCGTCTTTCTCTCTCCTTGTCCTTTATGCATGCACAGTCTGCTGCATGAAAATAGGTACTGTTTGCCATAGCCATCATGACGGTTGCTCTGGATGTTATGGGCTACAAAACAGAATTTGTGAGAGGCCTGTTTTGCACATTAGGGCTCTGCATGACAATGACTACTGCTCATCTGAAGTCCTAGGACTGAGGACCCTTTAGAAAATGCTGTTTTGTTGAATATGGGCAACAGAAAAGCCTGCTGTCATCCTTACGTAGACATGATAAAAAACTCACTTTGACTTATTTTAAAGCGTGCCTCTATGAATATCATCACTGTGATGAATTCGCCCAACCTTGTCACTGTGTGTGTGTGTTGTTTACTGTTGTTCCAAAAAAGTATTTTTAACTCAAAACTGTAGTTTCAAATAATAAAGTTATGATGGAAACTATAAACATTTCCCCTCCAACTATACTATCGCCTTCATAAGCTGTATGTGTGAGTGTGTAAATAAGTGCGGTTTGTAATATGCAGCTGCTTCTGGAACATCTTCTCCCCCCTTTTCTACAGCTGTGAATATGAAATACAGACGTGTAATTACTTCACATGAAGAAAAAATCTCTTGTTCCTTGGCTAAGACTGCAGCAGAAATGGAGCGTGACTGCTACAGCCCTGAGGGGTGTGTTTGGCATTGTATCGAATCCTACCAGTTACACCCACTTATGTTGCCCGAACCCCTTATCAATCTGCATCTTGCCAGTGAAGCTGTGTGTGCTGTCTGCAACACTGACTAACTGACTGGCAGAGGGAGGTGGAGAGGTGGGCGAGAGCCAGAGGAGAAGATAAATGAGCTCTGCCTCACGCTCAATATATTCAAATCAACTTGCATGCTGGTAAGAGGAGATCTTGCCTGTCTTGTTGAAATACATCTCTTCTTCACCAAAACGAATCCGGAAGAAATGTGTTTCTCGCAACATTAAGTAAGGGATCTCAAAAAGGTTTCAAGTTGTTTTTCTATCTGTTTTTTTAGTTTACCGTTTTATATTTGTTGGTAGCTATTATTGTTATTAGCTATTATTATTAGCTTTTCATCTTGGAATGTATTTATGAGGAGCACTACTTATACTGAGAAAACACTTGAACATCCTCTCTAGCTCTCGGGACAATGGCAGGATGTCATCAGGAAGGGCATGACAAGTAAATGCTATTAGTCACATTATAGAGTAGAATCCAGTGTTTTTGGAGCTTGACCTAAACCAGGGGCTAAACGTATATTATTATATTATAGGACATTTCAGCTTCTGCTGCTTCAATTTTGATGATTATTTTTAAATCTCTCCATTATGAGTCACCCAACTTTATGGAAGTGCAATACTAAATCACTCAAGTACCCCTTTAATAGGGCTTGATACAGGTCAAGTTAGAGAACAGGATAAGCATGTATAATTAGATATTACAATTTGTCAAATGTCAACTCCCCATCCACAAAAAAAACCAAAAAAAAAACAACAACAATCAAATGGAGGGAGTGGTATCATATTGTCCTTAGTGTAGTGTGGTTCTCCTGATATATTTGTATCTTGCAGTTTAGGAGTTTATGCCTCATCAGTCCACTAGAATGCAGCAGAGTTCAACAAAACAAATTCAAAAGATGTTTCTAAGTCATTACTTTTTCATAAAACAAATCACATAAACAGTTAAATGGCAGATAATGAATAGAAAAGGCAAATGATGTAGATTAATATTCCAGGATCCATAATATATTGTACTTATTTTATGTCTCCAGTATTCCTTACAATTGACTATCGCTCTGTTAAAATCTGTAATATGTGGTATGTGGGGTAATGGATAGAAAGGTAGCTACTGCTGGCTGCACAATACATTTTACAAAGATGTGGATCAATGGATGAATCCTCAAATAGCTTTTAAAAAGCATTTTCTCTGTGTGGTCCATAAGTCGTGCCATAATTCAACTCAAGAAACAGGTCAGGTTTCACCTGCGCTTCATGTTGTTTTGTTATTTTATGACCAAAGGGCACGAGGTGAGTGGCCAGAGTGGCTTTGTCCTGTCAAACCAACAGGTGGGAGCCGGCAAGAGGCCCTGCAGTTTGGCTGAATGGAGAAGAACAAGGAGGGACAGTATCAACTAACTGAAAGCAAATCTGGGGCCTCAGTGGCCTTACAATATTTTATGCCAGGACCATGGAAAATAAAATCAAAATAGAGTCACTAAACTGATTTTTAGATTACATTACATTAGATTAGGGGGCTATGCACATGTACAAAAGTGTGAGTAAAGAGAGGATAATATGACAGTAGTTACATCGCTGAGTGTTCAGTCAGTAAATCAGTGAAATAACAGGAAGGCCTGAAGTATTATGTTGAAAGATAAATGAACTGCAAACACGGGAAAGCATTTCTCATACATGCCTATCTCTCCACTCCTTATATTTTCTTTTATGTCTGACACGCACGTTGTCGTATGTACACACATGCCACGGACTCACCACGAAATGTATGCAAGCATACAAGCCTGCAAGCATGGAAACGTGTTGTCAACATGAAGATATCTATTAGGAAGCATACTCATACGGTGTGCTCTGATTCACTGTTAAACAGAGGAGGTTTCTCCCATAGCAGCAAGCGCAGCCTCCCCTCCTCTGTATCTCTATCACACCTTCTGCTATTAGTATGTATAAGTATGACATCCTCCGCCTCCTCCCTTGGTGTTATCTGGGTTTGAGATGTGTGAGTGACTGCCAGACTGTAGATAAAAATGCCATAATAATGTGTTTAGTCTGCAGGCAGCCAACCACTGGGGAATTATACAGCCGGCAGATCCACAGGCCGCCGTCATACACATCAGTCAATGGTTACTTTAAAGAACTTAGTGGGGTGGGGGGTCTTTCTGACAAATCCCTTTGTCCGAAATATGCTTTTTAGCTAGTTGCATGGCCCCAGGGAGGTTGGTCAATCGGGCCACCACTTTGGTCCAGATTGAAATATCACAATAACTACTGAATGGATTGCCATGTAATTTTGTACAGACTATCCTGGCTAGCACCATCATGAGGTTGACATTTATGTTTTAGTGTATAATCATCTGAAAATAGGAGTTGTGTTTTTATGACCTTAGAATGAGCCATTTTTACCTACGGAATACCTTCAATGAAGTCTGCCATGTTGAACCCCCATGTTTCTACAGTAGCCCAGAATGGACAAACCAAACACTAGCTGTAGATAGGGCCACTGTAGTTTCTCTTTTACTCTCAGTACATTGTCGCTGTGAGCACAATAGCATGCTATAGCATTTAGTTCAGAATCTTTAATCTTGTTTAGAGCTATAAACTCTTACATCATTCTGTTGTCAACACAAAACTGTTAAGTAAGGTTAGTATAGCCTTGACTGTTGACCTCCTTAATTGCTGTTTCTTGCAATCACGCTTATAATATGAAACATTTTTGTTGCACTTACAGCAAAGTAAAATGCTCTTTAGTCCTACAGTGTTGATGCAGTTTACCACAGCAGCCAAAGATGACATTGTGTTAATATATATATAATATATATATATATAAGTATGCAATTAAGGAGCAAATTATCTTCTGAAGGGCAGCGGGACAGCAGTGCATTGTGGTTCTCTGAAACATTGTTATCACACACTGGTGTTCCCATGGCCCCATAACTCAGCATCTGTCATCAAGAGAGCCAAGGTGACACACATCTATCAACGTCTCATATTCGAGATGGCAGCAAGCCCAGGCACATGCACACATACACATAAACACAGACCTTGACTGGTAAGCCATGTTGTCTCTGTCTTTAATCATGGCTAAACGAATGTACAGCATGAGACAATAAAAGGTTCACTTTGTAGAGCTAGCTGAGAGGTTGAAGACTGACTTCCATATATTAAATTTGCTCGAAACATTAATGGCAGAGCAGAGCTGATGGCTTTATTGAGCCCTATAACTTTATTCAACTGACAACTTACCCAGTCATGAAGGGAACATTCAGATGTTATGGCAGCATGATGGGATAAATACAAAGGTACATGGTGTGAGCTGTGTATCACCTACAGTATGCCAATCCTAAAAAGTAGTGATTAAATGATGTTCTCATAGGCGCTATAACTCTAAAGGTCAATGACAAATCTTTATTGTCCCCACACAGACTGAGATGCATAAATGTAGAATTTCAACTAACTTAAATACAGCACTGTATGCAGGGCTGAGTTTGAATTTACAGATGATGTGGCCTTGTGAGAGTTCAAATTTGAGTCAAATGAAATGAAATTTGCTCTGTGGAGGCACCATACACAAAACAAGCACTCTTGTGTTTTGGGACTCCCTAACGAACACGCTTGGCTGCATTTTTGGGCACCAATCCACTGCTTAATTAAAAGGAAACAAGCTCAGTGCCACTTTCAGGCTTGCTACCCATTTTTTACAAATATGCTGACCAACATAAAGCACAGGCGTAAGTATCAAATGCACTTTCACATTTGCCAATAATTCTCAACATGCAGGTTAAGCTGAAACAACACTACACAAAAAACAGCTCGGCCTAATACATTTTAGTTTATTCCATAAAAACACAATATATAAAGTCTGTCACTGTAAGATGATCTAAAAACACTTCTATTGTTATTTTGTGCATAGTAACGCATGCATACCTCTTTATCAGTGGTAGTGAAGATGATCCTTTTTACAATAATGATGAACACAACATACCTTGCATAGCTAAACACTACATAATACTCTTTTATGAGTAATCGCTAATGCTGTAAGGAATGTATTTTAAAATTGGTTTTAATCCAGAGGCCGGGGTAAAAGAGATACTATACACTGATAAAAGCATGTTTCTTGCATTTGGAATAATGAAATGATTACTGTTATTGTGCTTATAGTGGATGCACAGGGGGTTATACAGATGTACAGAAGGGTTACTTCTGTTACTTCGTAAAAAGGTGGTCATTAGGTGGTCCTGTTCTATGATCTAGGAGGTCATGTGTGACAGAAACGCCCCACCACATCTGCAATCAGACTATACTGGGTCAAAGCGCAAAGGAAATATTATTTTTCTTTATAAACTTCTTTATAAAAAATAGAGTAGGTATGGTGATGACAGCACTGAAGATGCGGAGGATGACAAAAGCATTTGATTTGGATACTAGGGGTTAAAACTGATCTTGAATGCTTATAGGAAGCACATGTTGGTGTCCTCAGATAAAAATATACCTGTAGCCTATGTCTTTACTTTGTGGAACTTTGGATTAGACCTGTTCATTTGACATACACTGTAAAAATAGTTTCCAGATGTATAATTATTACTTTAGATCTTACATTTTATTACATTTCACCAAAGTGAGACATTCCATTTTAGGATTTAAAACCATCTTCCACTTTGAAATTATAATTAGACTAAAAGCACCTTTAAACAAGCTTTATGTGTCAG